GAGAGGGAAAAGGGGGAAAAGCAATAAATTTTAATTTAATACAAACTATACTCATACTCTCAATTAATGAAACAAGCTTAAGTTGTTCTGAAGACTAACACAATAATGGACTTCTCTAAATCTGACTGTGGCTTAACATTAAGGACCTCAAATGATGGTTCTAGCCGTTTTTATTTTTTTAAGAAAAACAAACGATGTTTCAGTAGCAGGCTGGCTCATGAGGGTAGACACAAAACCTGACTCAAAGTTTACTGAAATTCTTGAGGAAATGGGGAAATAACCCAGATAATTATACAGAACATCTGGATTAAGAGGAGAGAGGTTTTATAAAAGACAAAACAAAAATTCCCACACCACCAAAAACCCTAACTAATAAGACTGGTTTGGTTGTCTGGAGGTTTTAAAACGCATTCCTAGATCCTAACAGGCAAGTTTGTAAAATTTTAAACAAATTTTCAAGTTCAGTTTACAGTAATCAAGAGGAACATACAAAGATCTGCGACCAAGAGAGAAATGAAATACTGTCAAATAAGTACTCGACACAAAGTTATTTGCCTCATTTTTAGCAAGAAAAACATTAAGAAATGTGTACACTATGAGAAAAAAAATTTAGAAATTTTGGTGTAGCCAAGTCCTATAAACGTGCTCACTTCTGGCACTGCCAACATTTAATGTGTCTAATCACAAGAGTCAACCCACTGTAAAATGAAGACTCAAACAAATCATAGGCATTGACGAACAGTTTCCCAATTATAAGATTAAGTGTCTCCTCTATTCTTTACCCATATTTAAATCATGCAACCTCAACATTAAACTCTGTGCTTCATGTGCAAGCCGTTAAAGAACAGATGGACATTTTTCTTCCCAAAGAAAACAAAAAAATTTTTTCTGGATTTAACCAGCCACCTGCAATGGTTTTCAGTAATACTGTAATTGATTCACACACAGGATGGTGCAATCAAGGATTTTTACACTTTGTTGCTATTTCTAATTAAGATGTTATCTTGTTTGATGAAGTGAATAATTTGGTGGACTCTTATTAGAATGTGAAGAGGTTTAATAGAAACCACCCCCCCAATCCTGCTCAATCTGGGCTTTTGTAAAAACAGGAATGGATAACTTCGAAATCAATTCTGTAATAATAAATTGTTACAAATGTCTTGTAGCTAAACTATGAAATGATTTCTAGGATGTAAATCTTTAAATTTCTATAGACATATAAACTGAAGCTGCTCGTGTAGTAGTTTAATATCTTAATACTTACGTCTGTACGGAGAGCCTTAATATTCTTGCCTCCTTTTCCAATCACTGCCCCAGCATTCTGGAGAAGATACAAAGACAAAAAATTATCTTGCCTTTCCCTAAAATTAATGTCTACCTATACTCTTAGGTTTTGCTAAAAAATCCTCTAACCTGTTTAAGAATAAAAATCTACTTGGGGATGTAAAAAACGACCAGGCCAAAAACAAATCAAAAATCAAAATATAATTCTAAGTGCTTTGAGGACTAAATAGTTTGGAGTACTCAACGTTAGAAATACACCAAGTATAAAATAAAACTAAGCACAGATTTTATAGCACCTTTTGGTAAAATAAATCAATTAATTTAGTATTAGTAAGTACCTTCATATTGTGACCCGTGATAAAATAAACTGCCAACCAAGCAGTTTCCTAAGGAGTCCACACATAATTAAGATTTAATCTATTAATACTTTAAGAATAACACCCTCCTCCTAGCTTGACCTGTAGTGGTGGTTCACTACAGCAAAGGCTTTAATCTTAATTATAAGTGGAATAACAAAACCACCAGAGCCTTCAAGTCTCTTTAGAAAGAACCACAAACAAATGTTTTATATACTTCAATCTGTAAAACTTTTGACTTTCTAGAAAGCCAAACCAGACCTTATCTTAATTTCCACTTGAGTATGAACCCCCTTCAAATTTTCAAGAATAAAATTCATACCTTGCTTTGAAGCAGAATGCGTAATTCAACCATCTCATCAGTGTTTCTAGATCTTTTAAATGCTTGTTCCTCTTCCATATCTTCTGCAGGGCGTTTACCTAAAAATTAACAGTTCAGATTTCAAAGAAAGCAGCGAAGTCTCCAAAGCAACTCCATTCTGTTTCAAGAGACTTGTTGCTAATCTTAGGCATGTTTTAGAAAGGCCAAAGGCATTGCTATAGACTTGAACCTTATGCTTCCATCTAGTAAAATGTACCAAACACAAAATACTGTGACAAAATACTTCAAAGGACTTGAAATCCCAAAATGCAAGGAAAATTTTTTATATGCAAATCAGTTACTTCAACTTCATAAATAAAAGCTAAAATGTAATTGATAAATAAATCGCTGAATTAAAATTACCTAAACAGAAATACCAAAATTTCACCACACACTTCTAGGCAATAATTAACAGAATAAAAAAATACTATTAAAATTAAAATTTATTCTCACCAAATTCACCATTGGTTTCAGTGTTAGGGAAGGTTTCTTCTGGCTGTTCAGTTTCCATATTCTTTTATTAAATGGGCACACCAATCTGTTGAAAAATAAAGAAGCTAGTACATTTGGCTTATTGGAAAGCAAGCTGTAAAAAAACAAACAAAAAAACCCCACTGCTTCTAGAACGTACCAGTTATTATATATCCTTGCAGAGCAGAACTGAAGCGTTCTGGGTCGGACCAACAACTGACACCCCAGTGCTGCAGCTGCCTATAAGAACCAACAGAAATCAGTTTTGCTTTTGTTTATTCCTATTACTGAATATTTATTTCTGATCACAGTCAACACTGATTTGAACCCAAAAAACTAGCTGTTTCTAAAACTTGACTCATTTTAGGGTTTCACAATTCAAATGACTGCCTAAAAAATACAAAATTCAACGGAGCCTGGTTTGATTTTTTGCTAAGTTAGAATAACTTTTAGCCACTGAATTAACTCCCAACACAGCAATGAATTGTTTTATACGGCACATTCACAAAACCCTGAAAAGATAAATGTCATCCACAAAGCATACATTTATGAAAAGTTACAATGCATCTTATTCACTGGAAAAACTAATTTTATATTAAAACTTCTAATTGCTTTTCTATTTCTTTCGACTAATGCTTGAAGCGATCTTATGTGACACCCCGAAAGTTTACAAATACAACGACCACTGCGAACACATCCATCAACAATCTACCGGAGGGATAAATCCAAAAATCTAATACAGGACCAGATCCAAACTATCACACTACCAATCTATTAATCAGCGAAGCTAATGGAGCCCTTGAAAACTAACAGTCACTAGCGGACTATTTTAAATTAGGCTTGATAGAGTACAACCCGACAATTATGCCTGTAATAAGAAAACTAAAGTGTCTACGCGCCAGAACGGTCGACAGGCCTGCAAACAGCCTTTTTAAGCTTCCCTCTTGTCGGGACTAGGAGTTGACAAGCGGCCTCTACTAGAAGGTTGGCTAGACAGCAAAGAGCCAACAATCGAGGCACTTTTATGCCTCCCATTCTCCCATACCGTTGGTGAACTTATCGCTCTTCCAACGACTAACTGAAACGACATTCTCCTGGCCCAGCACTCAATTTCTGAGGTGGGGTGGGAGAAATTTGGACAAGAAAGTTTAAGCAAAAACAGCAGGGCTTATCTGTAAGAATAACGCTGCCGCGTGCCGTTCACCCTTCGGGTCCTGCAGTCACTAGTCCCCAGGCCCCGAAAATCCGCTAAGTATGTGCTCGACTGGCCGAGCGCCAACGCGCCCTCCCCTCCCCGCCTCCTGGTACCGGGATCGGAAACAGCCGGGTAACAGGACTGGAAAAAGCGAGAGTCGATAGCAGAAGCGCCGCCACCTCTCTTCACCCGGATCCGACAGGAAATGGCGGCCCGCGTAATGGCGACTACGTGCTACTAGGCGGAGCCGAGCGCCGACCCCCTCCCCCACCCACCACGCGGTCCCGAGGTCTCATCCCCCGCATCCTCCCCCCATCGCCCGAGACAAAGCCACCGAGGCAGCCCTGACTGTTCCATCCCCGCCGCTCCAGCTCCGACCCCGGGCCGGGAGACCCAAGGTGAGGCGGGGCTCACACAAAGAGAGCGGCGGCGCGACCTTCTCCCCCAGCCGGGCTCCTTTCCTCCACGAGGTTCCTAGTTCCCAGTGCCACATAGCTCCAGCTCGTTCTAAAGGCACATGCCTCACGAATCCCCGGAGTCTCTAGGACCACAACGCGGACTGCGGATACACGCTCAGGGAAATGGCGGAGGTGGGGGAGGGGACGCCGGGCAACGTTCCCACTCGGAGAAGCGGCCAAACACCAAAGCGGCCCCCAGAACGCCTCCCTCAAGCGGAAAAACTGGGCTCCGACCCTCACCTCCACGAGCCGCTCCCCCAACCCGGCTTCTCACCGCGCGAGGCCGTCTCTCTGCCGCCGCGCCGCCTCAGCCGGTCGGAGCTAGACAGAAAACGAGCGCAGGCTCCCCTCCCCCGCCTTCTCGCGTCCTCCCCGCCGTCGCGCCCTATTGGCTGCCAGGGCTTCGGCGATGGTGCGAGGGCGAAGCAATTGGCCCGAGGCCACGTCAATCAAGGCGACGGGGGAGGCGACAACCCCGCCTACCGCCAGCGCCTCCCTTCGGGCTGTGAGGCCACTAAGGGCTCGAGAAAACCCGGGCTTGGGAAAAGTCAACGCAGCCTTTCAGGGAGGCCAAACCCATGCCCGAATCAGCAATACCCAAGCTCCAATAACTCCAATTACCTATAGGCCGCAAACAAGTGGGACACAGGCAAGACGTCGAGGTCGGTGCAGCAGAGAAACAGAGGATAATGGCGTCTGCAGTGCTGTCGCCTGGAGCGCCCTCCTCCTTTCTCGTTCGCGCACTCACTAGCTGGGGGGAGGAGCGACTAGGGGGCGAACCTCTCGCGAGATCTAACAACTGCCTAGTTCACGCGCACAGGGAGGGGCCGGGGAAGGGGCGTTTTCCAGGCCCGAAGGAGTCCTTTGGGGTTGGAGGAGGGGCGCGAGCGCGCGAGAAATCGGGCGGGAAGAGGCAAAAAGGGATCTGGGACAGTGCTGCGGCGGTTCCTGTTCTTACAGTTGCGCGGCCCAGGGACCGCTGTTGCGCGAGGAAAATGCGGGACGCCCAGGTCGGTGCTTGGCCCAGACTTATGCCCTTGTTTCCGCAGCCCACACTTGCGCCCGAAGCCCCTTAACCCCGCCCCGGGCTGTGGGCTGTGGGCTGTGGGCTGCGGGACTAGCTGTGCCGCGGTAAGTGCGGGCCGCCTGCGTTCGCTGTTCTCGGCCCACGCTTCGGAAACCCGCTGTTTGTAACGGTCCGGGGCCTCAGTCAGCCAAGGCTGGGCCCGGAGGCGCAGCTGGCGGTTCTCGGCCCGCTTTGCGCTGGGGCGGGAGCCGGGGAAACGCAGGGCGAGCCTGGGAGTCTTGGAGAACTTCTCGCCGAGAAGCGCACAGGCGGTTTCACAGGGCTCCGTTCTGATGAGACTTTCCTCTTGGGTAATGGCGCCTGAGATGGTGGAAGTATTTTGTAGTGTCGTCGCTGTAGTTTATTCCGATAAAAGTTTTAGGCAATAAATATTGCACTCGTCTCCTAAGATGAATGCATATCGCTAAATACGTTGTAGACCTCCACGTTCCATTCAAAGCCCCTGCCTTGTTGTGGCAGTGATGAAAACGGACAAAAACTCCAAAACCCTCGCCCGCAAACGTGCTGCTGTTCTAGCGGGTTCAGTTCACACTTGCATTGTATTCGGTTCCTTACTTCTAAGGCTCCTGTGCCAAGCTTTCATGACTTCCTTTGTTAAGGCACATAAGGTCACTTTCAATCGGTGACAACCCTGGGAAATCTCCAGCCCTGGTAGTACCCGCTTTCCACATCCTTACTCGTCAACCTTCCGGCCTCCGCCCACAATCCCAAACTCATTTTGAAGCATAAAGATGTTATAATCTGCACATGAAGCGAAATCCACCATTGACCGAATACATTCATATATATTTTAGTGGTGATGAATTTGTGCTGATTCATTCCTGTTATGTTTCCTTCTTGGGTAATTTGCAAAATATATATACCAGCATTCTTTTTAATGGCCATGATTGCATCCACCCAGCATCTTTTACTTGCCTGATTAGAGGAAAACTTGTTAAGGTACACTGAGGATTTCATGATAAACACCGGTATTTACATTCTGGGAGGATACGTTAACACATACTGTTAGAACATAATGTCCGGGATTGTGGAGTTTATAAAAGTTCTCTTTAAGTGGTAATACAGTTTTTAAAATGGTCCCCACCATGAAGAGTGTATAGTCTTGTTGGGTAGGTAAAACTTAACTCACATTTCAGCTCTAAACCACAAAGTTCAGAATTTTATTAAATATTCAACGTTGATGAGATTATGTAGGGGCTGGGGATACTTGGATCATAGAGATTTAATCCGCCAGTTAGGATTTGCAACATTTAATTGAGTTTGTCATTGAAAACCTGAGACATGTCATTGACACTAATGTGCACAAAGAGCGGGACGGTAATAATGATGCTGTACTTTCTTTAAAGTTAGTATGTATGTTACAGTCATCATTTTCTTGATAAGCAGTGATGAGTGGGAATCACAAGTTAAGCAGCCCTATATAAGAACTTCTTCCTCCCAATTTCATTGCCAGACCGGACCTCGACTGGTGTAAATTATTTATCCTCTCTAGATGCCATTGTGGGATGGTTGCTGTTTTTCCCCCATTTAATTTCCTCTTTACTTCTTTTAATTTTTAGGTTTGCTCTTTAAATAACAGGAAAGTCTGTTTTTTCTCCATCCTTTTATTCTCTGTTTGAAATTAAGACTTTTCAACCCACTGATTTTATACCTGTGTTCATTCAAGAACTTACCAATAAATTCATTGACTCCAGTTTTGTGTAATTGGTTCTATGGTGTAATAGTGTAGTGATCATTTGGACTCAGTGAATTTAGACCCAATGTTACTTAGATGTGAGATTTACTTCAGATGGGCTGATACAATTGAGATTGTACACTATCCAGCTGGATTATTGTTTAAAATAGTATTTATAACTACTGTTTCTTGAGTTCCCCACTGTGTGCTAAACATTGTGCTGGCAGTTTAATACTTTTTAGAGTTCTTTAAGTTGTTAGTTATCTTTGTTTTATGGATGAACGAACTAATACTAAGAAGCTAAGAAACATATCCAAGGTCACATAGCAAAATTGGGTTCCAGATTCTCTTTTCTGTCTTTTCCTTACCTTAGGTTATGGAGGATCCACAAAAATCTCCTCTGATTACTTCTTTTAATTTCCGTCATACACAGTGTAAATTTTTCCTCCCTAATTTTTGGAGTATCTTCTCAAAAATTCCAGGATTACCTTGAACTCATCCTCAATGAATTAAAATGTAGACTTACCTTTATTGTTTAGATGAAGATAATGGAAATGTGGAGTAGATTTAAATTTTTGTTAGTGCTTTTTATTCTTAGCTGCTGTCGGAATGGCACACGTAATGTCCAAAAGGATGACACTCGTGCCTCACTTTTTATTTAAAAAAAAAATGGAATATATGAGGCTGACTGAAAATTAATCTAGAAATCACCTAGACCTTCGTGGTAGGTGATAAAGTTTTCCCACTTTATTCTCTTTTGTTTGGTTCCTGGCAGTCCAGATCTAGAATGTAGATTAGTGTGGTCAGCCAAGTTTGTCATTCACACAATGCTAATCATCTTTCTTAAAAATGTTTTTTTCCTGATTATAAATTTTTTTTTTTTTTTTTTTTGAGACGGAGTCTTGCTCTGTCACCGGAGCTGGAGTGCAGTGGCCGGATCTCAGCTCACTGCAAGCTCCGCCTCCCGGGTTTACGCCATTCTGCTGCCTCAGCCTCCCGAGTAGCTGGGACTACAGGCACCAGCCACCTCGCCCGGCTAGCTTTTTTGTATTTTTTAGTAGAGACGGGGTTTCACCATGTTAGCCAGGATGGTCTCGAACTCCTGACCTTGTGATCCGCCCGTCTCGGCCTCCCAAAGTGCTGGGATTACAGGCTTGAGCCACCACGCCCGGCCTTCCTGATTATAAAATTAATGGGGATTAAGCTGTATGTAATTTTATATGTGTTTTCCTCAAAAAAAGTAAATAAATGTATTTCTATGTCATTAAATTATTCCTAAAAATGGCTTCTTTAAAGATTTCATAGCTTTTCATTTCATGGTGGCGGTGAAATATATTTAACTTTTTTCCCATTTTGAACATTTTGTTTGTTTTTTTCAAACTATAAAAACTCACTGGTAAACACTCTGCCACATAAATCTTTGTCTTTATTTTGTTACTTATTGATGCATAAAAGTTGTGCATAGTTTTGGGATATATGTGATAATATATTCAATTAATTTGTAAAGCTCAAATCACAGTACTTGGGATAGTGTCTCCTTAATATATATGGCTTTTTTCTTTTTGGTCCTTTTTTATGATTGTGTCCTTTATTCTGGAAAGTAAAAGAAGTGGATAATATGGTATGAACATACTTTTTTTTTTTTCTCCTGAGACCGGAGTTTCACTCTTGTTGCCTAGGCTGGGGTGCAGTGGTGCAATCTTCACTCACTGCAACCTCTGCCTCCTGGGTTCAAACCCTGCCTCAGCCTCCCTAGTAGCTGGAATTACAGGCATGTGCCACCACGCTTGGCTAATTTTTTTGTATTTTTAGTAGAGACGAGGTTTCCCCATGTTGGTCAGGCTGGTCTGGAACTCCTGACCTCAGGTGATCCATCCGCCTTCGCCTCCCATACTGCTGGGATTACCAGTTTTGAACATATCTTTTTTATTATTTATTTATTTATTTTTGAAACAAAGTTTCGTTCTTGTCGCCCAGACTGGAGTGCAATGGCACAATCTCGGCTCACTGCACCCTCTGCCTCCTGGGTTCAGACGATTCTCCTGTGTCAGCCTCCCAAGGAGCTGGGATCACAGGCATGCGCCACCAGGCTCGGCTAATTTTTTTGTGTTTTTAGTAGAGATGGGGCTTCTCCATGTTGGTCAGGCTGGTCTTGAACTCCTGACCTCAGGTGATCCTCCCAAAATGCTGGGATTACAGGCATGAGCCACCACGCCTGGCCCGAACATATCTTAATGTATAACGTAAAAGACATTTTTTTCCAAATTTATTATTTTCTTGGACAGTGGAGTTCTTTAGGATCAGGAGTTGTTCTTTGTACATTAGCACACGGGAATTTGTGCTGCCCTTGCTAATCTCCACCTCTGAGCTGCTTCTGCCTGCTTGTGACTATGGTTACCCAATTTCCTAAGCAAAGGAAGAATGAAAACCTTAGGAATTTTCTGAAGGACTAGATGCCATTAATATAATTTACCAAATTATTAAAGGTCTCAATTATTAATATCCAGTCTAAACTTTATAATATAGATCTTACTTAATATTTTTCCATTTGATTAAACATTTTAATAAGCTTTTCTGTAGGAAAAATAACCTATTATACATCATCTTTTTATTATAATTAAGACATGCAGTTGTAGGAATTGTATCAGTATCCTAGATCAATCCTACTTTCTACTTTACTATTAAGTGAAGAAATCTGTGTAACAGATGTACTTTAGCAGTTATTTTTTTTCCCCTCAAGTTCTTGACTTTTTGATAAAATATTTGAGAATACTTGTATTGGAATGCTTGTACAGTGTTAAGTATCTCATCACATTTGCTTGTGTTTTACAGGTGTTTTCGTTATCTTTTGGGTGTTCAGTCACTGGAATTTTTTTTCTTTGCCTAGTTATGATAACGTTACTGAAAATTTATAGTATGTTGGCTTCAGAAGTTGAGGGTAGTACTTAGAGTTATTAATTAGGACTGACACATATTTAATGGAACACTTTAGTTGTTGGGGTTCTCTGAGCAGGGTTTTTCAGAATTTCTCCCAGCTTCTGGCTGAAAGGAGTTTTGCTACTTGCGGTGTTCAATAGCACATACAACCGGGCGCGGTGGCTCACGCCTGTAATCCCAGCACTTTGGGAGGCCAAGGTGGGCAGATCACGAGGTCAGGAGATCGAGACCATCTGGCTAACACGGTGAAACCCCATCTCTACTAAAAATACCAAAAAATTAGCTGGGCGTGGTGGTGGGCGCTTGTAGTC